CTTTCCAGAAGTAGTCTCTGTTACATATGTAGCTCTTTCTGGAATAGTTCTATACATATTCAACAGATATTTCTTTACTTTTAGTCGGCCCATTCCAATTTTCTAAATTATCGACACATGTTAATTGCTCAGGTTAGTGGCATTCATCTCCATATACATATGCCTCATGATAAATTCCTTTGTCAAAGTGATGTCAATATCATATCCATTCTGTTTTGAATTTTGTTCACATTGTAAACTTAGTCTTTGGAATTTTGGTTTTGTTTGTCGTTTTTTCAGACAGGGTCTCCCTGTGTATCCCTGTCTGGCCTAGAACTCACAGAGATCCACTTGTCTCTATCTCCAGAGTGCTGAGACTAAAGGCTTGTGCCACCATGCTTAGCTTTGCTTTGCTGTTGTTGTTTGAAGTGCTGAAGATGGAATCAGGATATCACACATTCTAAGCAAGCACAACAGAGTACACAGGAAGCTGTTAATTCTAACCCCTGGAGTTTTTTTTTTTTTTTTTTTTGAGACAGGGCCTCAAATTTGCTAAATAATTGAAGATAACCTTGAATTTATAGCCCTCCCGCCTCCACTTCCGAGTGCTGGGTTAGTATGTACCACAGCTCTGGTTCCTGTGTGATGCTGGGGATCAACCCAGTCCCTTGTAGATGCTATACAAGCACCCTACTGACTGAGTTCTGCCCATCCTTTCCTGTAGTCTTGTGCTCCAGGGCTGATTTTTGTACTTCACTATCTAGGTACAGAGGTTCTGTAGATTGTCCACACCCTTTCCTTTGGCTTGGCTCTACCATCTCCCTGAGTCTCCACCTCTGACTCTTCCTACCATCCTCCCTGTCCTGTAGGGGTGACAACCTCAGTCATTATCATAACATTCAGCTGTTTCATCTCCACCCATCCCAGGATGACCTCACCCTCAGCATTTCAGAGGAGAGTGGAGATGCTTTGAACTCAATCTGAGGTGATAAGGCTGATGCCCCATTGAAGTAAGAGTCCACTTGTCCCCCATTTCCCCTCTGTGTGCCAAGCGTTTTTCTAGGGGGAGCTTTATATATTTTACATTATTAAATGCTGACTGCAAGTCTTTGAGTACATTCTACTCCTCCTGGGATCAGAGTTGAGGAAACGCATGCTGGTGCCACCTGGTGGGAACTTACCCTCTCCAAGATGGAGGTTCAATTTCTTTAACATATGGGTGCCAGAGGGGGAGCAGATGCCAGTTTAGAAAATCTATAAGGTTCTTCTTCATTCTAAGAGTCAGGGACTATTGCAGTTCTGACAACCATCCCTGCTGTGAGGACCCTCCAGCCACCAGAGTCCTTTCACCAAAGGTCCTGGGAGGACTCTCACCAAAGTCAGACATGAAGGTTAGGAGCACAAGGGAGCACAATGAGGGAGCTGCCCCTGCTTACCTTTCTTGACATTTGTAGCCTTCTTGGTCTTGGGGGTGGGTGACTCTGTAGTGACCTGGGACAAGATGGAGAAGAGGCAGAAAAGCAGGTAGGTGCCCCCAAATCCCATACTGCTGCTTCTGGCTGCAATGCCTGGGTCAGAAAGCAGTGTCACTGCAGCCTGGGCTGCGCGGCTTAAGGCTGTGGACACAAGGATCTCTGTCTTGAAAACCCTCCGAAAACTTGGCTGAGAACAGTCAAAACAGAAAAAAAAAAAAAAAAGAAGAAGCAGCTAGCCTGCCAAAGGCGAAAGGCTTGGGAGCCATAGCTACACGCTGTGGACAACCACCCAGCAGCCTGGCTAGCCTCCCAGAAAGTCATCGTTTCAAGGGATTAATAGACAGCCAATAGCTGCCATTGCTCAATCCGCCCAGTGATTATTTCAGGCAGGAGCCGGGTTGGGCCTGGCATTGGCTCAGTGAGTCTCTGCCCAGAGAATTGTCTTTTCCCATTTTGTTGAGACTTGGTGGGGAGAGTGTCTACAAGCTACTCTAAGGGACAATGACCAGGTTAACAGCCTTAATGGTCCAGAATGCTTGTGATTATTTTGATTTTGTTCATTAAAAAAAGCAAGATAAACCTTCCTTTCCTCACATTTCCCCCCCTCAAAAATCTGTCCTGAAGCCATAAGAGAGACAGAGCAAAAGAGGGGACCAGAGCAGAGAAGGGAACCAGGAGGTCTTAGAGCAGTGATGTCAGAGAGGGAGCAGGGGTAACATTCCCTGCATGTGCAGCAAGAGGCATCAGAGCTCTGCAGGATGGAGGGAGGCCTTGCCAGAAAGGTGGAGGCCCTGCTATAGTGCGGGAGCCCAAGTCCAGGAAAAACTGTGCAAGCAGGAGAGTAATGGCAGAGACCACAAGGACACTGAATGGCATACGCAGACCCTACTAAAGACAGTGGGAACTAAGTTTCAGAGAAGGGATTTATGAAGAAAGAGGGAGTTGGAATGAACCCTGCAGCGTATGGTTAAAAGCAGAGTTACCGGTGAGCGCCTGTGAACATGAGCATATCAGAGAAATCCGTATGTGTAGTTAACATCTGCCTCCCAGCTGTCCTTGGACAGGCCTTGGAGCTGCAAGTCCTCCAAAGCCTTGAGCCCTCTTGACATGGAAGTATAGACTGTAACATTCTACCTAAGGACAGGAGATGAACCCAAACGTGCCATATTGCCAAAAAGCAAGAATACTTAAAGAATTCTGGGGACCCATCAGTGGGGTACAGCTAGCCTGAAGGGGCCGCCTATGGTGTGAACCCAGCAGTGTGGGGGATTCTGTAGCTAGAAAGCCATCACACCAGTGTCAGCATCAGGCTGGAGGAGATGAATGCACAATTCAGTGCTACAAATAATTCTTGACTGGACCCTTGGAGCTGAAGGACACAGCTGACAACTGATGGGATGTAAGGCACCTGGTAGAGCTATGTTCCTGCTCCTGTCCCAGCTCCAACAATGTATGAGCATGTTTTCACTTTTCCACAGCATGGCAGCCCAGGCGGACCACTTATTCAAAAACGGCTTCTGGGGACAAAGTCCTTTGTAGAGTAGTTGAAATTTTCTGTGAATCTGACCTTTTAAAAAATGAAATGCAGGGTTGGGGGTGTAGTTCAGTTGGTAGAGTGCTTGCCTAGCATGCAGGATGCTCTGAGTTTGATACTTTGCATGGAATAAACAGGTATTGTGCACACTTGTACTCACAGCCCTTGAGAGTCTGAGGCAGAAGGTTCAGTACTTAAAGGCCATGAGTCCCTGTCTCAAAAGAAAAAAAAAAAAAAAAGGCCAAAAAAAAAATGCAGTACCATGTCATCAGCTTTTCCCTGCTCTCTGGACCAGCCTTGATCATCTGGCTGGGGAGGGGCATGTTGTTCAGGCCCAGGAGAAGGACGTAGATGGTCAGCCTGTGGAGGTATCAAGGGTGAGGCACCCAGCTGGAAGCAGAACATATGCAGGGCCCCTTAACTGATGGAAAGAGCACCACCCCTCACTTTATTAAGTGGGAGAGGGTTCATACTCACAGCTGGAACCTCAGTGAGGTAATCTGGGGACTGACGATTGCATAACCTAACAAGGAGTCTTGCTTCCAGGAAAACTGGGTGGGTAGAAAATGCAGGGGGAAGTTAATAGTTCTTTTAAAAAACAAACAAACAAAAACTCCTTTGATTTCCCAACTCCTCACCTTGGCCTGACTCCATACAGCCAACATAAGACATGGGGGAGTACCTAAGTATGTGTTAGTCCAAGACCTGTTTCCTAAAATGGGCCTGACTGTTAAGACCCTGCCTTAGGTTTGCTGGGGAGATTGTCCCAGGCATGCAAACCATGGGAAAGCCTTAGTGGGCCAGTGCATATCGGGAGCTATGCGAGCCCATAGTGCCTCATAGCCATAATAGATCCTGGGAATGCAGAGCAAAGACTCACGCTGTGCCCTGGGGTCTGCAGAGGGGCACTACTGGGCACCTAACAGCCAGAGTAGGTAGAGAGAGACTACAACAGGGGACTTGGCCAGGCCAGAGGTAGAATAGGGAGGGTGGTCCATGTGGGGATCAGGGAAAAAGGAGAAAAGACTTGTAGCTTAGTGAGAGGCACATCCTAGATCCTGAGCACCTGTGGGGACAGAGAGGGAAAGCTAGCAATGCAGATGGAAATAGCAAGTCATGTGAAAAGACTGGCAGCCATGGATAAGCCACATGGGGAGGCTGGGATCAGAACACGAGAGTGAGAGGCACATCAGGGACTAACATCAGTTCCAAGCATGGGCTTCACCTGCCTTAAGGAGTAACTCTTTCCTACTTGACCTAGCAAGTGAACTCTGAACCTTTATGGTCAGCTTGTGGGGGTTATAGCAAGCAGCAGGCAACATCCTTGGTCATTTCACCTGCAGGACTTTGGAAGGGGTGTGTGTGCGTGCACACACTACATAGAGCTCCATGCAAGCACAAGGTACTCTATTTGTGCTGTTAAAATGCCTTCTCTAGAACTAGGATAATGAGAAGAGTGTCTTGGCTAGGGGCTTCCCCAGGCTTAGACCTGCTGTGTCTCCACAAAAAGATCTGAACAGCTGGAGACACTCCAGCTGTTTTGAGGGAAGACAATTTATCACCCAGCTTTAAACCTGTGCCTACCAGTGGCAAGTATGGCAACCTTGGAAGGTTTCAAAGCCAGGGATAGTGACTCATGCCTGTAATCCCAATGCTCTGAAGGCTGAGGCAGGAAGACTGCTACCAGTTTAAGGCCAGCCTAGACTATAGAGACCCTGTCTCAGCAAAATGTTTTAAAATTACAATCTTTGGGGGACAGCAAGACTCAGCAGGTAAAGGCAATTGCCTCTAAGCCTGAGGACCTAAGTATAACTCCCAGAACCCAAAAGGAAGAAGAGAACCCTTAGTCAGAGGTTTTTTTGTGTTCCACCTGGCCCGTGGTCAGGACATATCTCTCACCTACAGTCCCGCAGCCTTTTATAAAATAATCACACAGAGGCTTATATTAATTAAAACTGCTCGGCTATTAGCTCAGGCTTACTACTTAAATTCAGCCCATTTCTGTTAATCTGTTTGTTGCCACATGTTCCATGGCTTTACTGTGTGCCATTACATGCTGCTCCCTGGATGGTGGGTTTGCATCTCATCACTCAGCTTTCCTCTTCCCAGAATTCTCCTTGTCTGCTTATCCTGCCTATACTTCCTGCATGGCTACTAGCCAATCAGCGTTTTATTAAACCAGTATACAAAAGCATTATCCCACAGCAAGGACCAACTCCCTTAGGTTGTCCTCTGACTTACACACACACAAATGTCATTTTTATTTTAAATTATATATTATGTGTATGGGAGTTTGTATATGTGCCCATGGAGGCCAGGAGAGGGCACTGGATATCTTAGAGCTGGAGTTGCAGGTGGTTGTGAGCTGCCTGGGAATAGATGCTGGGAACTGAACTCGGGTTCTCTGGAAGAGTGTAAAGAGCTCAAAACAATTTACAAACAACAAAAACCCCCAAAACCCATGTTGTAAATAGCACACTGTCCTGTGTATTTGTGTCAAAAATGGCATTTAAATGTAAACATATATCACTATTTATGTAGCCCCTGTGGTGGTTTGAATGAAAATGGCCCCCATAAACTCATAGGGAGTGGCACTGTTAGGTGTGGCCTTGCTGGAGGAAGTGTGTCACTGGGGGTGGGCTTTGAGGTTTCAGATGCTCACGTCAGGCCCAGTGTCACTCTCTTGCTGCTGCCTTTGGATCAGATATAGAACTCTCAGCTACCTCTCCAGCATGTCTGCCTGTATGCTACCATGCTTCCCACCAAGATGATAATGGACTGACTCTCTGAACTATAAGTCAGCCCCAATTAAATGTTTTCCTTTATAAGCGTTGCCATGGGCTTAGCAGTGGTGGCGCACGCCTTTAATGCCGGCACTTGGGAGGCAGAGGTGGATCTCTTGGAGGCCAGCCTGGGCTACAGAGAATTCCATGACAGCTGGGGCTGTTATACAGAGGAACCCTGTCTGGAAAAACAAAACAGAAAAAAAAAAAAAAAAAAAAGTTGCCATGGTCATGGTGTCTCTTCACAACAACAGAAACCCTAAGATAGCTGTTGCTCAAATCTCTAAAGGTCTTATAATAAAAAGCCCAGAGCCGGATACTGGAGTAAATGCTGAAAGATCAGAGAAACAAAGGAATAAGTCACTGCCACATCTTACCTTTAGGACTCCTCAACCTGAAAAAGCTTCAGTTCCTGTCTCCTCATGCCTTTCTCCACCCAGCCATCACTTCCTTCTTAGTGCTGGGATTAGAGGTGTGTGTGTGTGTGCTTCCCAAACAAAGGCGTGAGATCTCAAGTGCTGGGATTAAAGGTGTGTGATTCCCAAATACTGGAATTTTAAAGGTGTGTGTCACCATTGCCTGGCTGTTTCTCTCCTGGACTGAATCAATCCCATGTAATCCAGGGTGACTTTGAACTCACAGAGATCCAGATGGATCTCTGCCTCCCAACTGCTAGGATTAAAGGTATATGCTACCACTGCCTGGTTTCCATGTTTAATCTAGTGGCTTGCTCTGTTCTCTGATCTTCAGGCAAATTTTATTAGGTACACAATATATCACTACAGATAGCCCCATTTAGCATTTTGTCATTTTTTAATTGCTTCAGTGGATTTCACAAAAGAAATGGACACAATGGACCATTGTGTC